TTTCATCATCTGCTTCGGGTGAAATGTCTAGTGTTGTATCATGCCCTCCCTTGTCTTGTAATCTATCTTCTGCATCTAGCCAATCCTTGAAGTAGATGCACATCTCTGTGCTCTCATTGTTCATGCAACTTCTTTTGTCATCCAGCACCCTAGTACCTACACTAAAACAAGACTCCGATGGAACACTAGAGGGGTTAGTAGATCATGTGCCATGGCGGCGAGAACTGAATAATTTTTCGAGTGTTCACTCCACCAGGCTAAAATATCAAAATTATTTGATACTTCATCTAAATTAGAAAAAAATGCTTGCAAATAAAAATTAAGTTCACTAAATGAACTTGTTGTAGAACTAGCAAATTTATGCCTTCTACTTATTAAATAAAAAAGCTTTTCTCTTCTACTACTGGGCTCAAAGTCAGAAGGAGAAGAAGAAGAATATGAACAATTTCCTACAACTTCATATTCATACAAACTATACATCTCAAACAATAAATTATTCATTTCATCTTTTTTTATTTCCTTTATCAATATTCATATTTTCATAATATGTTTCAAGTAAAATATCTAAACCATCTTTCCTAATCCTAGGGTCTAATATTGTAGCYAAACAATAAAGGGGAGAAATGTTCTCCCAATATTTTTTAAATTTATTTTCCATAATTTCAGCAATACATTGAAATTGTGAATTATTTCTGTATTTGGCAAAACAATCAGTAATTACCATTAATTGATACGGTAAATTAGAACTAGTTGGATAATAAATTCCAGATAATTCATTTGTTGCATCATAAAAATGTTTTAAAAAATCTCTTATACAGACTACCATTTCCTGGTCTTCCTCAAATATCATATCATTAGGCATTTTTAAATTATAAAAATCAGAAAGAATTTGTTTATGAGATATACAACTTTCAAACATTGCATAGGTAGAATTCCACCTATGCTTTACATTTAATATAAAAGGTTTATATTTTAAACCATAATTTTGGCATAAATATTGAAATTTTTGTTTTCTTGCCCCTAAACTTTTTATATATATAATACAATTTCTAATTTTTGGAGTATGATTTGAAATAATATTCAAGGCATCTTGAATACATAATTTAAGATGTGACATGCACATCTAATATTAAATAATTTATCATTTAAGCATGGTTTTAATTGAGATTTTAAAATATTTATTGCAAAATCATTATTGCTAGCATTATCAAAACTAATAGAAAATAATTTGCTTTCTATTCCATAAGCATGCAAAGTATTTAAAATACTTGCAGCAATAGATGGGCCACTATGTGGCCATTCAAGCCTAGTAAAACTTAAAATTCGTTTATTCAAAAGCCAATTTTCATTAATGAAATGGCCGATAACACAAATATAACTAATATTAAATATGGATGTCCACACATCTGAAGTAATTGCAACTTTAGAATTAAGATTTGCTAACAAAGAAATTAAATTTTGTTTATATGAATAAAAAAATTTTAAAGCATCAATTCTTATAGTATTCCTAGAAACTTTTTTATATTATGGGTTTACAGAACTACGCAACCATTTTTCTAACTTTGGATCTTCAACTAACATAAATGGTTGTTCTGCATGTACAATATACTGAGCAAGTTCTTGTCTCATTTTTTCTTGTGAATATCTAAAAGTACCAAAATTAGTCCCCCTCCCAATTTGTGTTTGGGTTGTTTCTCTCCCTTCATCTTCCTCTTGCTCATGTGTGAGCAGATGTCTGCTCAAATGACCCGTATCACCCTTGCTACAATAACTAAAGTTTTCCCTACATTTTTGGCAAACGACCCCTTTCCCCTTCCCCTCAATATCCTCTACTTTGAAAATTTTCCAAACCAGGCTACTCAGCTTAGAAGCCTTCCTTTTTCCTATAGTACTACTACTACTAGGGGTGAGAGTTCCACTTCCATCGACATCAAACGCATCAGTGCTAACACTAATACTATCGTGATCCGATTGAATGTCATCCATGGTGAACATGTTGGGGAATCGGTTTTGAGAAGGGCCAGCCATTTTTCTTAATTCTAAAAAGATAAAAATTAATTTAATTCGACTTACCCAGATTGCTAGTTCAAAATCCCAACTTGATTTCAATGGTTGAAGCCTTTCAACGTCTAAGCCTCCCGAATTGAGATACTTAAGCTGGTTGAGCAAGCCTTCTTCTTGTTGAAAGTTGAAACTTTGATAAAGTTGAGACTTGAGAATTGGAGAATGCAAAATCAGACAATCAGCTAATCAGAATTTCTCAGATTGTAGATAATTGAGAATGTATGACTATGAGAGAGAGAGAGAATTAAGAGAATTGTTGAATTTATGTGATGAGAATGGTGGAGGATAGGGCTATTTATAGGAATTGAACATAATTCAATTACCCAAAATACCCAAAAAACTATCTGTTATTTAGTTATTGGGAGGGGTATTTTGGTCATTATAAAGTTACTTATAACTTTACCCAAAATGCCCCCTAAACTAGTTGTTATATAGCTGTTGGGGGCATTTATGTCATTTTCTCAACCCCCCATAAGCAAAATATAGAAATACCCCCCAAATATGGTTGTTTATAGCTATTGGGGGGGGGGGGGTATTTCTATAAACCCCCCACAAAAGCTGAAACTAGCCGTTGGGCCCCTTTGGGAGGGGGTCCAATGGCTATATTCCTGAGCGGGTCGAGTGCGACCCATTACGGGCCTGGCGGGCCATGTCGTGGGCTTGGCCATGCTGACACGTGAGCTGTGGGCATGGCACGTGAACCCCCAGCCCAGCATGGCACGGACCTCCGTACCAGGCCTGGCACGGTCCATTAGCCACCGTGCCATGCTGAGTCGGGCCAGTATGGGCCTGGCACGGTCTGTTAGTCGTACTTCACCAAATGGGTTAAAGCCGAGCCCCTGGCTACCATCACGGCTAGAATGGTAGTCATCGACAACGGGAAGCAGTTCGATGACACGAGGTTTTGAGAATGGTGTGCCTCCCTCGGCATCAAATAGCAATATACCTCAGTGGGCTACCCTCAAACAAACGGCCTAGCCGAGGTCACCAACCAAGCTAACCTAGAAGGACTAAAGACCAAACTCAACAGAGCCAAAGGCCTTTGGGCTGATGAACTGAACAACGTCCTATGGGCTTACCGAATGACACCTCAGGCAGCCACGGGGGAAACCCCATTCAACCTAACCTATGGTGCCAAGGCCGTCATTCTAGTAGAGATCAGCCAATCAACGCTTTGAATCAAGGCGTTCAATGAAGCCAAGAATAGCGAAGAACTTAGAACAAATCTAGACCTATTGGAAGAAGTCCGAGAACAGGTGCAAATCAGAATAGCAGCCTACCAACAGGGAATGGCTCGCTACTACAACTCAAGGGTGAAAGAGAGACACTATAGAGAAGTAGACCTCATAATCAGGAAAGTCATGGTGCTTGAGCCTGGTGTAGGCAAGCGCGACCCCAACTGGGAAGGTCCTTACAAATTCAAACAAGTCGTCGGCCCTGTCACATTTTGGCTCGAACACTTAGATGGAAGACTAGTCCCTCGGACATGGAACTTGGAGAATGTCCAGATGTATTACCAGTGAATGTAACCTCTATTGGCTGAACAGTGAATACTAATGCAAAGTTCCTCCCTCTCAGCCCAGTGTTTTAGTGTACAAGTTATTATTTTTACAAGTGGCCAGGACCCCTCGGCCACATGACCGACCAACGCGTACAGCCTCCCATGAGGCCCCTACGCTTGGACCGGACTATGGGCGGGACATAGTTCTTCGTGAACTAAATGTCTGCCTAGCCTAAACGTTAAAGGATGGAGTAATAGGGGCCTCGACTGCAAACCTTGGCCTACAACAAACACACACACTAAAAATAACCTAAGTACCTCACCAAGAAGGAAAGACGTGGTGTCCTCGGTCAAGCGCACCTCAGTAACACTGGCCGCCCGAAGGATCGCCCCTGGGCGCCTCTGAAGAAGGTAAAGCCAGGTCGGCCAAGGTACACCTCTCGCCTCGACCCTCGGTAGCATCAGGCCACGGCTTCAAGCACTTAGCGCGACAAATGTCAGGCGTAGCACAACCTTGAGCACCTTGGCAGTTCACCTCGACCTCACCCAACCAATCCCTAAGGACAAGGAGCAAGTCAGGAGAGATGATGGTAACTCCCTTTCCTCCCCACCGAGGGAAGGGGCCTCGAGCACCTCGGCAGCATAGCTTGACCTCGGCCAATGCCCTTTAACTTCCTAAAGCAAGTGACTAAGTAACGGGCCACTTCGAATAATAACTTTTGCTACTTGTGACCTCTCGGAGGGGGGCATAGACCCCTTAGCTTAAAAAAAAGAGAGAGAGGGAGAAGAGAAGAGAAGAGGCAAAAAAATAACAAAGGCACAAGATACGCAAAAAGATTATTTCATTAAATATTCAATTCTTAGCACTTACAAAAGTTTTGGCCTCGGACGGGGAGGCTGAGCCCCTTTACAAAAAAACCAAAAACAAACAAGAAAGCAGAAAGGCGGGCCATCTACACACCACCCTTGGTAGGAGGGACAATGGAGTCCTCGGTAGCTGCGGTGTCGACAGGAACCTCGGGGGGAAGGACATCAATGTCTGGGAGCACCTTTAACTCATCCACCTAGAAGTCTGGTACCAGCCTCAACAACTCTTTTTTCATGTCTTCAATCCCTTCTAGGTAGGCTTTGGCCACGTAGTCGGTGAGGCATTTCTTGTATTCCACCATCATCTTCCAAACAAGGACAACATCCTTGAAGTTCGCCCCGGCCTCTGCTGCTCATGCTCAGCCTCCATCGCCCCCGCCTCGGCCTCTACAGCCCGCTTCTGGGCTTCCAATGCAACACCATCGAGACAGGCATGCTCTAGCTTGGACTTCTTCAGCTGCTCTTGAAGCCTAGCGGTCTGAGCCTTCTCTGCCTTTCAGATCATTCTCCAGCGTTTGTTGAAGCTGCTTCTCCTCTCCTAGAGCTAAGAGAGTCACATCCTAGCTACTCTCAGCTGAGGCAGTCACATTGTGAGCTACTCGTTCTTCTTCGTAGCCCAATTCAGGTGACCAAGGAGGAGGTAGACCCGATTCCCCAAGCCAACGTAATGCCGACATACCTGTAACAAATGAGTCTCCATTAGTAAAGTCAACAAAAACAAGTAAACAATGAAGCAAAAGTTAGTCGAAGCTCATCTCATATAGGAATTCCAGACCCTGCTCCTGGATAGTGAAAGGGTCGCTATTCATCATGGCAAGACAATCCCTCAGAGGGATCATCCCCTTTATTAGAGCTCGGCCAACCCCCATCGACATCAATAGAGTCCCCCTCTTGGACGTCCCACATGGCCTATAGTGGCGTCGACTTGATCTTCAATTCCTTCCCTAAGGGACGTGGGGGCTCCCACTGCTAGGAGGCCTTGGCCTTGACTTTGGTGTCCATACTAGAGATGGGTGAGAAGGAATCTTGCCCCTACCTTGTTTTGCTTACCGGTGCATAGGCGGATCTGTGGAGGCCTCGGCTATGGGCACTGTCTATGGGAAGCGTCGCTAAGACTTCCCTCAACAAAATCTTGGCCTCGGCTATGGCCCACATATTGACATTTGTGGGCCTTTTCCTATACCTGCTTGGAATGGTGAAAAATATTTTGTTACTTTTATTGATGATTTTTTTTTTTTCGTTATGGTTATATTTATTTGCTGCATGAAAAGGCACAAGCTTTGGAATTCTTCAAGATTTACAAAGCTGAAGTTGAGAATCAATTGAATAAAAATGATTAAAGCAGTAAGATCTGATCGTGGAGGAGAATATTATGGGAAATTCAATGAATCTGGGCAACATCTAGGACCTTTTGCCAAGTTTTTAGAAGGGTGCGGTATTGTTGCACAATATACTATGCCTAGGACTCCCGAACATAATGGAGTAGCGAAAAGAAGAAATCGCACCTTGAAGGATGTGGTAAGAAGTATGATATGCAATTCTACATTGCCAAAATCACTTTGGGCAGAAGCTCTAAAAAATGCAGCATATATCTTGAACCATGTACCCAGTAAGGCAGTGTGCAAGACACCATTTGAATTATGGACTGGTAGAAAATCTAGTCTAAACCATTTGCATGATTGGGGGTGTAGGGTGGAGGCCAAGATATATAAACCCCAAGAGAAGAAGTTAGATCCTAGAACAATGAGTTGCCACTTTGTAGGATACTTTGACAAATGTAAAGGTTACAAGTTTTATTGTCCATCATGTCCAACCCGAATTATAGAAACTGGAAATGTAAAAGTTATTGAAGATGGGCTTGTTGGTGGTGATGTGTCTACTCAACACATTGAGTTTGAGGAGAGGTTTACATTAGTTGTTATTCTAGAGTCTCAACATTATGTCTTGCCTATTCAAAATGAAGAGAAAATCGATTACCAAGCAGTGGTTGATGATCATATATGGGAAGGTCCACATTCTCCTATGGAAATTGATGACCCTCCAGTAGAAGTACCATTGAGAAGATCTCAAAGGGTGAGAAAACCAGCTATCTCTGGAGATTTCATTTGTTATCTACAGGAGTGTGATTTTGATGTTGGCTCTAAAAATGATCCAACCACGTATAAAGAAGCCATCAATTGCCAACAATCATTCAAATGGCTAAGTGCCATGATTGATGAGATGGAATCAATGAAGGAAAATGAAGTTTGGGATCTCGTAAAATTGCCTGATGGAGCCAAAGCAGTTGGTTGCAAATTGGTGTATAAAACTAAATGAGATTCAAGTGGCAATATAGAAAGATACAAAGTGTGATTGGTTGCAAAGGGTTTCACTTAAAAGGAAGGCATTGACTACAAAGAAACCTTTTCTCCTATCTCTAAGAAGGATTCCTTAAGAATTGTCATAGCTCTAGTGGCTCATTTTGATCTAGAATTACATCAAATGGACGTCAAAACAACATTTCTAAATGGTGTATTACATGAAGATGTGTACATGATTCAACCTGAAGGGTTTGAAGTGGAAGGCAAGAAAAACCTTGTGTGCAAATTAAAGAAATCTATTTATGGCTTAAAGCAAGCATCAAGACAATGGTACATAAGGTTTGATAAAATCATCACCTCTTTTGGTTTCAAAGAAAATGTGGTAGATGAATGCATCTATCTCAAGATTAGAGGGAGCAAGTTTATTATATTGGTCTTTTATGTTGATGACGTCTTACTTGCAAGTAGTGATACGAAATTGATTTTAGAAACTAAGCAGTTTTTAATAGATAATTTTGACATGAAAGACCTAGGAGAAGCCTCTTTCATCATCGGTGTCCAGATACATCATGATAGAAACAGGGGCATGTTGGTACTGTCTCAAAGAGCCTATATTGATATCTCAAGAGGTGTGGCATGGACTATTGTTCGTCAGGGGATGTTGCAATCATTAAATGTGAGAAACTCACTAGGAATCAATGTTCAAAGACTGAGTTAGAGGTTGAAGAAATGGAGAAAGTAATGCACAAATTCTCCTATGACTCAATTATTGGAAGCCTCATGTACTCTCATGTTTGCACCCGACCAGATATTGCCTTTGTAGTTAGTAAACTTAGCAGATATCAAAGCAATCCTGGAAAGGTTCACTATAGAGCAGCAAAGAAAGTTTTATGATATCTTCAAAGAACCAAGGATTTCATGTTCACATACAGTAGATCTAATACCCTTGAGGTAGTTGGATATACAAATTCAGATTTTTCTAATTGTCCGGATGATATAAAGTCGACATTTGGTTATATTTGTATGTTAGCTGGAGGTATTATCCCTTGGAAGAGTGTTAAACAGTCAATTACAGCTTTGTTGACTATGCAGGAAAAATTTGTGGCTTGAGCAAGCCATCTGGTTACAGAACTTTATCTCAGAGCTTTGCGACAACTCTGCAGCTGTCTTCTTCTCTAAAAACAATAAGAGTTTGGATGCATCCAAGCACATGGACATAAAGTTTCTTGTTGTGAGAGAGAAGGTTAGGGAACAAGCACTACAACTATGATAGTTGATCAATTAACTAAGGCTCTTAATGTAAAATTGTTCATAGAACATGTAACCCATATAGGTGTTGTAGAATCATTTGATTCACATGGTTAGGGGAGTATCTTTTAATAGAATGAATACAACATTGTTGTTCCCATATATAATATAATTTTTGTTCTATTTGTTCTATGCCAAATTATCTACTTTTCCATTGTAAGGATTCTGGTGGGTTGTAAATAGCAAAGATCTAAGGGACCATACAGGTGGAAGAGATGTGATTGATCACCACATCATACGGATCATTCCACATTTAGTTATGGACTATGGAGGGATGTCAGTATAATGACCATGAAATGACATTACATTGTTAGTGAGATATAATGATCTATGTGATCTTGTATTGACAGTCTCATTTGTCTTAGTTCGATTTAATATTAAGAATGCCATAAGGAATGTGAATGGATTATGATTAATTAAGTATGATAAAGTATTTTAAAAAATATAATAATAATAATAATATATCATGAAATAATACACTAATTCATAAATCTTTGCAAGACCAACTGGGAGATTGTTAGAATAATTCTTTTCTTTTAATGGTCTTGCAATGGACCATTCAATACCAATATATGTTCACAAAGAAGCTCCGTGAAATCTATCCCAATCCACAGAGAAGCTCTCCCATTGAATAGATAGTTGAAATGGGGTTGAAGTGATCTCCTAAAAAAGACAAGTAGTCATGGCTTCTTCAAGATCGCTGGTTTTAGGTAAGGAATTTTTTTTTCTGATTTCTCAAGAGCAAAAGGTTGATATGATTTTAACATTGACCCCTGTTAATAGTCCATCCATTGCAGTCACGTAAGCTTCTATGCTTTGACCCACGTCAATTCTCTGATTAAGCCATGTCAATCTCTATGCTTTAACCCCCACCAATATTTCGTTAGAGACATGTAAACCTCTGTGCTTTGACCTTCACCATTTTTTTGATGAAGTCATGTCACTCTCTTTGCTTTGACCCTTACAAATTTTCTTCCAAAGTCATGTTAGTCTCTATGCACTAACCCTCTTTATGTGTTGACATTAAAATGCAAATTAATAATTAAATATCATAGTAATAGTTGAATGGGAAGTGGAAATAATTCTGGGTCCTTTTTATATTTTGGGTTTGTTTGGGTTTCAGATGCGCATTATGCCCCATTCCTTGAGGATACGTCATTCCCCAACAATCAAGCAAGTGCAAAATAATAAAGCTAGCCTTCACATGATGGAAAGATGTTGCACGGGAACCAATGCCTTGCCTTAAACCTCCTTCCTCACATTAACCTTCTTTTAAGATTACCTTTCGCAAAAATCTCAATGTGCTTCTTTTGGTCATTGTTGTTTTGTAACCTGCTATGTCACAACAAAGAGGGGCAGTTGTCAACACTCGATTTCTGCTCAACTATTTGTCTGAACCTTAACTTATCCACAAACACCCGATCAAACCATTCTAATCTCCCTTTGAAACATCAGAAAACCAAAAGATTCCGAATCTCAATTGCAAATCCTCAAAATCCACCGCTGAACCTAACTGGTTTTTGCTCGGTCCTATCTGCCCCTCCAATCCGATGACCTAAACCAAACCCTTCACACCATGATCATCAAACTTAGAACTTTGAAAATACTTGTTTAGATCAAGGATCAAATTCAAACCCCAGAATTTGATCGTAACTAGTCGTAAACTCCATTTCAATGACCCAATTCACAAATTACCTTTAGAGCATAAGGATACTAAATTCCCAAAATACCACCCATCATGGAAAATTACCAAAATACCCTTCATATTAAATTTCCAAAGATAGCTTTTATGCCAAATTATCAAAATACCTCATTTCTTCTAAATTACCAAAATACCCCTAATCATAAATTACTAAAAATACCCCTCCTTCCAAATTACTAAAATACCTTCATACTAAATTTTTAAAATACCCCTAATCCTAAATTACCAAAATACCCCTAATCCCAAATTACCAAAATCCACTCCACTTTTCCCATTGCTAGAATATTACCATTGAACCCCAAGCTACCAAATTTGGCATGTGTTCGCAGGCCCTAAAAAAATACTAAAGCGCCATTTGGTCTCTCCCTACGTTAAGGATCAGCATCACACCCTTCCTATAAACCCTCACTCGAAATTACAAAAAACCCCAACCTTAGCCCNCTTCATTTTAGAAGTTTACAAAAAGTCCCCTCCTGAAATCCCTCACCTATTCCTAAACCCACATAAATCCTCTTAAAACCCAAAGGGAAATCCTAGTCGTCCCACCTCCTTCCATCGA